AAATTGGTGATAGCAGAAGGAAAATATACACAAGTTTATTATTGTTAAATATGAAAGCTTACTTTACCAAAAATTCAATTCGATTGTATACTGAATATTGTATCTGAATAACTACCTAAGGTTTTGTGTACGAGGCAATAAACCAAACCTGGTGCTCATTGGTGACTAGCTTCGAGAGGTATTCCCGAAGTTCCAGTGCGAAGTCGTGACCGGTGAAGTCAAGCCTGATGGTCACGAGGACAGTTACTCAACGATGACGTTGGGTGGCGGTTGTGCTATATCGTGAGCTAACAAAAGTTTGGAATATGGAGCATTGGATTCTGATCCAGCGGCCCAACGGTAACGCGCTGGCCGCGGAACCTGAAGGTCGCAGGTTCGATCCCTGGAGAGGTCGTGGGTGCGCACTGCTGAGGAGTTTCATACTAGGACGAAACAGCTGTCCAGTGCTCCCAGGTTACCTTTGTTCCTCCAACTGATGTCAGTCTACGATGAATAACAACTTGAAACAAACCTTTATTGCAAAAGTTAGCGAAACCATCTAGAACCAGTTTCAAACTTTTGATCTACTAGATGGTGTCAGGTATAATTCAGTGTCTTATAACTCGACTAAGTTGTAATTTGAAGATTTAGCGTGTTCAGCGCAAAACACTCAGAAGTGGCAACTGCAAAATGTCACTGCTAGCATACTGTACTCTTAGGAACAAAACAGTAGGCTGACATTTTTATTTCATATAATTTTTACTTGTTTGTATATTTTAGCTCACAGTTGTAAATTGAACAGATCTCTGAATGTGACATGAACACTAAAGGACGTGTAGACAAAATATTTGACAAGCAGTACGAGAACAAAATCTGTTTCATCTCGCCTTCAATCATCACCCAGTACAAATACTAGTCTCACAAACTACGGCTATCCCAGATAGTCAAATGATAACCAATATGAAGCTCCCCCTCTCATTCTAATTCACTTAGATTGGGTTGAGAAGTCCTAACTAGGCAGCCAATGTGAATACGACCAAGCGGTAATAACGCGTCACGAATTCATATGATAGTCGGGCAAAACCCTTGGTGATTGAAGTGAAATAAAATTCTGGTCAGCAGTCGGACCTCGTAGCTCAGTTGGTAGATCACCGGGCCAGTAACCCGGTGGTGGCTGGTTCGAATCCGACTGCAGTCCAGATTTTCATCTCACCTTCAATCATCACCAAGTACAAATCTGTTTCACTTGAGTCGATGTTGACCAAATAGACATGACTGAACAAACTTGAACAGTTTCTGAACATTGAGTTATATTTGTTTACTTAACAATAGGTGATAAACCGATTATGTTAGTAACTGAATGAATAAACATAACAATTATGAGCATATTCATTATGAAGACTATTAGCTAAATCTATTGTTTGACAACTTATCAAACTATTTGGCAGCTGAAACCTGCGCAGGTAGAGCGGGATTCGAAACTGTGACTCATTCATTGAGGGTCATAAATACAGTAATTAGAGTGAAATTTACTAGATTTATAATCTAAGAGACAGATAACACAAGGAAAGAAAAGATTATTTTATAGCCTAAGAATATATCCAAATATCGGTAAATGAAACAAATTTGGAAATGATAAAGAATATTTGTAGCTCAGAATGATAATTTTGATGGTATTGTGTTCTCTGAGATGGATCGTTTATTTGTGGAGCTTTCGTTATCATTCTAGCCAACAAAGTTTAAAAACTGCTGAACGGAACGAAATTCTTCTTCATTTCACCTTCAATAACTACTTCGTATTAATAACGAATAAGCTTCGAAATAATAATTTCTTTCATAGTTTTAATAAGAAACTGATGACTATGCAGTAACATATTTAACCTTTCAATGGGTTTTATTCAGTTAATGCCAGTTGTACAGTGCATAAATCGCTACACATGTATTCAGCCACCAAGTTCATAAACAGAAGTGAATCCATATACAGTATCAAAAGGTTGTGAACTGGATAATTAAATGTTCATCTTCCATAAAGTGCTTCTCATTTCCATAAACAATATTTATCTACAATCCAGATAGAAACCAAGAAGTTGTGCAACTTGTAGTCCTACTTTAGTGGGTGCTACTGATAAGAATGCATATAAGTAGTATGTGTTGAAAGGTCGGAAGAAGTTGAAAACAATTATGAGCGATGGATAAATATTCTCTCCAGAGAAGCCCAAAAGATGACACAGCTGTATCAATAGCAAGAGGAGATAGAAGAATAACTTAAAAATATTGTACGAATTGATATTTCAATGGAAGGTAATAATATTTTATTAGCAATGCACAAATTGTCACAATAAACAATCCTTCTGCGGTCTGCCCTTTGGTTTTTTCTTCACTACATCTAAATATTACTAGTCGCATTTTACGTTTTGTAACTATACTGTTCCCTGTGACAATGGTCTAGAGGAAGTAGTACACCATCAAATCATAAACTTTACTTACTGAAGGTCTACCAGTTCATCGTCAATTACATCTAATCGTGCGGAGGCAAATATGCCTAAAAATGTCCCACGTCCTTCTACTGCTACTACTACTACCATCGAGATAATAACTAAACAAGGAGTAAATCTATTTCCGTTCCAATATTAGCATAGTGCATATATGGAATATATAAGCTAAGATTTCATCTATGTCGGTCAACAAACTTCATTACTAGATAGCTTATCAGAGTAACTGAAATAAACTGGAGACTAGTCAGGAACTTCATCATCGACTTGAAATATTTAGAATGTATAATATACTCACTAATTTTAATTATAGGCATTAGGAATGCAATATTTTCTAAATCTTATCTCACTCTAGTGGATTGTGTGGCTCACTTAACACTTCAAAAGTTCCACAACAGACTGACGTAATTGGTGTTCATAACTAGTAAACATTTGGAAAAAAAGACAGGCAGAGATATGCGATACACTTCAAATTACATTTAACACAAAATATACTATTCGTTTAGCTAGTATACTAACTACACAGAAAGGTGAATCTCAACAGTGCTGAAATATCTTTAAATCATCACCGCCAACTACTTGTTGATAATCTATAAAATGTAAGAATGAAACTCCACATGATAAATTAACGTGGAACCTTACACAGAAGTGTATTTATTCAAGTTGCCACACTTCCCAACAGTACACAACAAAGTAGTAAATAGGGAAAAGAATGATACTGAAGCAGATGAAAGTGAATGAAAGAAGAAGAAATACATAAATGAAGGTTGATGGAAACCTTCAAAGATGAGTGATAAAAAGTAGATACGTCTACACTATTCTGTTCGATTATCAGTCGTGTCAACAAGAATGATGCACGCTTACAGCCTAAAACAATTTGACCATTTGATATATTTGAATAAGACATTCCAATGACAAATATTGCACGACTTCGTGTTTCGTAGCTTCAGTACAATCATGTTACAAATAACGTAGTTGGTAATAATGAAATTATAAACAATATATTTAGTTATTTTAGACAAAAGGATAAATAAAAAACCAATCACAATAATAGGTCAAGTAGTTCGGGGTTAGAAAATCAATTCTTCCATCTTCAAGCCATTTTTAATGAGTCACATTCACTAAAAATTAAGTCTTCAGAAAATAATCCTCTCGCATATGACGTTCATCAGGGACTGATATCAGTTGCAGGAAGACTGGAAACTTGGGAGCACTCGAGAGCTGTTTCGTCATAGTATGGGACTCCTCAGCAGTGTACATCCGTTACCCTGCCCCGTCCAGCGCTAGAACTCAGAGCCTTCAAATTACGTGACCAGCACACTACCACTGAGTCAATGAGCAACAATTCAATGATCCACATTTTTCTACTTCTGTCAGTTCATGATATAGTGCTAATTCATGTCCGTCTCGGATAAATACCAACTTGAAATCAATAAAATTCCTACAAAACTCAAAATAGTAAATAATGCATTTGATCTTATTCATCTACCTTGAAATGCTTGACCTATGATGACGATTAGTCATTATTGTGTCTGTTTATCTCATTTGACTGAAAATATTGACGAGACATTGAGAGATTACGCCACCTCTGTGTTCAAAAATATTTTGTTAACGCATTAAACCTTCATTGGTGTATTTACTTTTGAAACCAAGGTTAACGTATGTTTAGTAATGATGGGCAGTGGCTAGCAGTGGAATCCAGGATGCGCATTTCGTACTATTATCATTGTTTTTGCTTGAATGAGTTTCATTGTTACTTTGACCTTCAATTCAACTACCGTATTTGACCTCTTTCCATGCTCTTTTTATTAACCTTTCACATAAATACCTATGATAAGCATGAATAAATGCAAATTGTTCGAATTTTTTTTACTTTTCATGTTTCAAACTATATTTCGTGTTGCTTTGGCAGTGTTTCAAAACGGGAATGGTTCTTTGAAGCATTGTGATATACTTTACGATTCTGAATCATGTTAGCCATGATTCGATTATGAAGGAAACAAGAGATGATAATATCTGACAACAGTCGCTATTTCTTTTCCAGTGACCAATGAAAATCTCTGAGATAGCTATGGTCTGGCAGACTTATATTATTCATACAGAGTGATACTTAGAGGCGAAATAAAAACTAACCCAGTGGCTCAATGGTAGCATCCTGGCTGCAAGACTTGGAGGTCCCGGGTCCGATTCCTGTCGGGATCATGAGTGTGCACTGTTGAGGAGTCCCATACCAGGACGAAAAAGCTATCTGATCTTCCCAAGTCTCCGATGTTTCCCCAACTGATGTCAGTTCACAACGATATCGATCAGAAATCAGTAAAAAAATCCCCATAAGCCTCCAAATTGAAAACCAGAGTTGCAGCGGGACTCGAACAAGTACCCTCCGCCCTACCGGCCCGGTGCTGTACCGACTGAGCTAAATATACTATGTCTATAAACACTATTTATGCCTTAGGCACTAAAAAGGGAAGGTGAAAATGTAACAATAAAGATACCAATAAACCAGAATAAAAACATTTTAAAACTTACATAATTATCTTTCAAATCAGGGTGATCTGTCTCCAAACCATCATCTAGGATAGTAACCACAACACCTTGACCTGTATAACCGCGTGCCCATACCGATCGTACATTCATATCTAAACCGCCTGGACCACCACGATTCTGTGACAGAAAAATAAAAACGATTTCGTAAAAGTATATGAGAAGTTAAACAATTAGAAGAGGATGAAAATAAACTATATACACTATCAGCAAGTAGATAAGAAATAACTCAGATGAAATGATGATGAAACTACTGAAAGAATATTTAGTGAATAAACCAACTAATACATGAATACTGATGTCAATTGAAACAGTATAGTGTACAAATGTTGATGTTTGCTTATATAATTAACTAGCCCTGGCATATAACCAACTGAGTACAAAAATTGCTCTTGCTGATACAATCAGAGCCAGTAGGAACATATAGGGTGAGTAAAACTCGACTAAAACTACAGCATTTGAATACATAATTCAGCAACCCGATGGTCTCAAAAACAACCTACTTGTTAACTTATTTACACAGATATTCTTGTCTAAACAAGCAAATAATTATTGTGTAGCAATCCAAAGGTAGAGTGGATCAAGTGAATACAAACTGTGACCTGCCTGTTGATGTTGGAACTTAAAGGTGAATTAGATCTGGTCAAACAATATTCAAATACTATTTTGTCCAATTAACAACTCCTCAATTGACAAAAATACTCCACGGAAGCAGTGAAGTAAACTACATAAGACACTTATTCATCATGAAGTTTGAAATGAAAGTAGTTAAGTAGAACAAATAAATTGTCTTGACGATTAATTGCAAAATACCCGAATACACTAACTTCAGAACTTTACTACTGCATACTATAATAATGATCATAATCCGAGCATACAGAAAAGAAGTTCAATCTCTACACAGAGAAATAAAAAATATAAAAATGCTGATCGAACGTTGATAGATTCCTTATGGTGTATATAAGCAACGTCTTTCATAGTCATACATAAAAAAATAAAACCGCTATGATCCAAAATGCCAGCGCCATAAAAGTTGCAGATTACTAATGAGGTTAAATGAAATATGAGCTAGTCTATGGGAGTCAGATATGATCCCCTCTAAATGGCCTCAATCATTGATTGTCCCAGTCTTCACGAAACGCCAGAAATATTCTTGTCGTAACTACCGGAGATTAAGTCCTACCCTAATACCATCGAAGATTCTGGGCCTTATAATAATCGGACGCCTAAGTGGAGATGGGAAAAAACAAACCCCACAAAATCAGGCAGGTATCACACCGGGCCGTGAGTGCATCGACCATATGTTGACTTTAAAACAGGTTCGGGAACACAGGGACACTTACCGAGTCCCGACATTAGCGGCATTTCTCGAACAGAAAATAGTATTTATCACCACCGTCTGAGAGGTCTTTTAGCAGCCCCTACAATTGAAACGGATCCCAAGTAAATACATCACTCCGTCGAGCATTCACTCTCATCATTCGTGCTTAGCTTTTCCCCAGAAGTGTTTATAAAGGTCTCGCTTTCCGTATCTAGCTCTACAGGGATGGACCATTCTTCGCCAGAAACCTCAGGAAGTCTGGAGTACGCGAACGACATATTTGTGTTGGTCACAAAAACTGAGAAGAAGTAGAGCTTTCTAGACGTAATGAGGGACAACTTCAGAATGCTAGAAATGCGTTCCCGAACACTTAAATGTAAATTCTAGTTCCGGGATTGCTCTTTAGTGGCGCAATCCCTAAACAGTGAAATGACAGAGTGCAATGACCACCATACTCACCAAAGAAGTCGGATCACACATAAGAAATTAGTGACCATCCAAACCTGACCATGAATAAAACTGCCTCGAATAACTTTCGTCAACTCAAGCCAATTCCTGTGCTCCTATAATATCCAAGAAGTGTCATGATGCCACCATGCAGAAGTCAGGCATAGAGTTTATTTTTACGAATCAAACTGTCCATCTTATTGTTGCCTAACTCTGTTTCAAATTTGAGCATAATAAAACAACTTCATTCATCAAAATTTAATTGCACGCTTCAGTTGATTATCTTTATCAATAAGAATGTCTGTATATTTTCTCAGTCTGGTCGCACACACTTCGTGTGGATAAAAGAAATTAATTAATTTTTTCAATTGGACTTGTAAAAACTATGATTATATCAGTTTGATGCAACATTTAAATCTGTTTGTTCACTACAGCAAGTGTTTTCCACCTCTTTCATCATCTAGAAATTCGTAGACTGCATCTTCCAACTTGTACCACTCCACCTCTCATGAAATATCATCGAACTTCTGAGTTATGAATTTTGATTCCTCTTCAAATTCGAGATTGCAACACCACTGATTGGTTGTCTGTCTGCAATCAGCACAATACATGTTGCTTGACATTCATGAACCAGTGGCGAATTAACTTCGAAACTGGATTTCTTGTTTCTCTATAAGCACAGATTGTGCCTAATCATTGAATAATCTACATCAGCTGACTGATGACTGGAAGTGATACCCGTTGTACAATGTTAGTTGATGTAGACACTGACTGGAAAACAGTTAGAGGTGGTTAGGTTGAGACATGATATCAGTCAGTGTCTGAAGTCCTAGACTGTTGATCTGAGCCACGTAGTGAGAAATGTATATTTCCAGGTTGAGGTTTATGTGACAACAGAAACCAGTGGTTGAAAACTTTAGGTGATATGTCTCAGGATTGATTCACGATGGTGGGAATGTATCCATACATAATCTTTATCTGAATCATTATACTGAAATCGACTATTTTCTCATTCCTCCTCGCTCTGTTTTGACGACTTTCTACGGTTTTCTTCTTCATTGCATCATCTTTCATTTTGGTGCATTCTCGTTTGGTGTGCTGATAGGAGCCGGGGAAACCTGGACAGTGACTCCGTAATGTCTGGTCCTATTTGATTTTATCTGCCTGATCAAGGTTACAAAAATCAACTGCCGCGTGATTTACTTTCAGCACTTACAACTATTTGTAGCAGTCGATTGACTGCTGGCAAGTAACAACAGAATCCAGCATGTGGGTTTCATACTAATTCAGACTCGTCAGCTGGGTGTGTCTGAATCCTGGTGGGTTATGTCTTTCTTACACAAGTCTCAGATTTACTGCTAGTCACCACCAAGGGAACAGTACAGCAAAACATTTAGATACTTCTTAGGAATTCATACAGAAGCCTATATGCCAACAGATACCGATCAACTCAGCGCAGCATAATCAACAAAAAGAAACAGAGGATAATAAATAAGTCCAGTGACATTTCAGGATCAAAACGCAAAACTGTGAAAAGCAAAGTTAATACACTAAACAACTAAAAGTTGAAGTCAATGACTGATGTGAGGTTAGGGTGTAAAGTAAGGTAAAGTAAGAAAATTTCACAAAAGTGAAATTATCACCAAGTTTCCCTCACCACTTTAACATGATAGAAGAATCTGTAAGAATTCTAAGTAGTGGAAAATAAGAGCAATATACCTCATACGATACTGACTGTCTGACACTCAGAAAATCAACTTAGGACCTTTCACACAATTGTGTGTTACCTCAATTCGCCACACTTTACAGTAGTACACAAAGAACAGGTGGATAAAAAAAAGAGTGATATCAACGTTGACGAAGTTGTGTGAAAGAACAAGCAGTTTGAAGATACAGGTTAGTGCGATTATTCGGGCTTTAGAAAACATCAAAGAGTGAACACATCTACACCACTGTGACCGATTTTCAGCTATGTCATCAAGTGTCCTCAACCACTTATTGCTTTTGTCACGGGGACCCTAACCGGGTAGTCTACATCTCTTAACAAGGCTCAGACCAATAGTAACCGATTTCATCGACTGGTGCCACGTTTTGGTCTAGCCACCCTGAAAACTCTTCTAACTTAATCCAACTTCCCTTTAGCATAGCACGTCGAGGTAGGTGGTGGCTCGGCATGAGCAGTACATGTCCAAGCCATCTTAGTCGAATAAGGTTCACAACCTCACCAATCGACTTCCCTGTCTTGCCTAGTACCCTTCGCATGACATCAACACTTTTCATACCATGACTCCACCAAATGAGAGCATTGTTACGAAGAAATCTATGATTAAACCCTGTAATCGCTTCTTATTGTCTACTTTTAACACCAATGCCTCACAGCTGTACAACGGGACAGAAAAGAATGCAGCACAGCACTGTTATTCTTTGATAGATAGTCGGATACCTCAGCAGTTGGCCCCATGTGACGCGAGTTGGCAAATGTTTAACAGGGCTTCTGTATTCGAGCTGAGATTTCGTTAACAACCAGTCCGTTACATTACATTACACAACCTGTGAAGTCTTCCAGTATTGACTTCAGATTCAAAAGTCAGAGTAGACTACATGGTTGGTGCCTCTGAGATCCTATGAATCAATGTTTGTCAATCTTAGATGACAGCAATAATGACGCAAATGTAATCATCTTTATCTTTCTAAATTCTTGGAGATTTAGCGCTCTTCATTCACTCTTTTTCACGTTTAGCTATATCAAGCGTTTAGTCGAAAAAATTGCACTTTTGATGATTTACTCCCTTCATATACCTAGGAGTATGGCAATTTGTGCATATTTCTGCGTTCGATATACAATTAATTAATACCTAAACTGAGAAGGCTATATTATATAATAGACATAATAATAATTCTAATCGGAAACATGTACAATAAATTCGTAGACAAATTTGAATACGAAAATCAACAATTTTCAAATGGGACATCTTCAATTTTATCTTTTAGTACATATATGCACAAATATTTTGAAAAATAGACCTTAGCTAAACAAAAGAAATGATCTGACCGTATATACACCTACAAAATAGAAAGACTACAGAAGTAATGGAAGCAATCACTGAATAGAAATGGTAAAGTCCTGACGGAATCAAAGGTCAAGATTATTTAAGACAGAAAAAAAGTAACAGAAAAAAGCCTCCAGATGTATCCTACTCTGACCCAGATCATTAGTTTATATATCATTTTCACTCTGCCTATTTCCTTCAAATCGACTGAGTTTACCCTTTGATCATAAAAATCAGTTGTAGAGAGCGCGACACTTACCAAGGAAAAAAGGGAGATCACATAGAAAACAGTCAAACAGAGA